CTGCGATACCCCGCGAACACTGACGAGCAAGAGACTTCACAGGAAGGAAGCAGCTGAAGCGGTCCAGGGAGCAGAGAGCAGAGAAGGAATTAAGAGCAGGGGCAGGGGCAGGGGGGGGAGGAGGAGGAGGAGGACGAGGACGAGGACGAGGACGAGGACGAGGACGAGGACGAGGAGGACGAGGAAGTGGTCTCACTTCTGCGGTACAAGCAATCCCAAAGTTGACAGCGCAGGACCAAACCTGAATATGCAGATAAAGAAGAGAAAGAAGCAGAAGCAGAAGAGGGAGATCAGGAGGAGGAGGAGGAGGAGGAGGAGGAGGAGAAGGAGAAGGAGGAGGAGGAGGAGGAGGAGAGATGAAAGAAGAAAAGAGACGAGTCGCCTTTGAGCAAGAGAATGAAAGCTGGAGAAGAAAGGGAAGGAAGAGAAGAGGGAGGGGCACCAGCATTCAGCAATGAGAAACTGAAGAAGGAGCAGGACCATCGACGCGTAGAAGTCTTTGACACTCACTGAAGACGTTCAGCGGGAGGTGAGGTGAGAAGGGAGAGGCACATGCGAGGCAGAAAAATGGAATGGCGAGGAAACATCCGGCTGCTGGTACCTGAGGCATGCCGAGGATTACACACGAGGACAAGAGGGAGAGAGAGGAGGAGAGGAGGAGAGGAGAGGAGGAGAGGAGGAGAGACAAGCATGGAGCAGAAGAAGGCAACGAGATGGTTTCCAGCACGAGGATGGAGTCGAATTGTTTGCCTACCAACAACCTGCGACTCTTGTCGCTCTTCGCTACCCTGCACATGATTTAGCAACTTCTATTCCTCCTCTCCTGCTGCTCTGCCTGTCTGCGATGAGCCCTCCTGCAATCGAGGAAGCACACCCCTCCTGTCGTGATGATCATTCCTCCCCTCCTCTCCTGCCCGCCTCTCCCTCCCCTCACTCAGCACTCAATCTCCTCCCTCCCCTTCCTCCCTCTCTCCCCTCCCCTCGCCTCCCTCGCTCCCTCGCTCCCTCGCTCCCTCGCTCCCTCGCTCCCTCGCTCCCTCGCTCCCTCGCTCCATTATCAAGGCATTGAGTGGCAGCGAACTCACGCCTGCTTCCTCAACCTGCGGAGGATCATGATCTCCTCTTCTCCCTCCCCTGGAGATCTCCCTCCTCGTTCTTGTTCTCCTGATAGGAGGAAAACTTGTCTCCCAGGAGAGGAACGCAGCAAAGGCCGATGACGAAGCCCGCGGCAAAACTCAGCTTTGACTCTGATGAGAGTGAGAGATGATGGACAACAACTCCTGCAAGCGAAGACTGCCGACCTAATTTGCAGTCACTCGTCGACGACAGATCGCCGAAGCAGAAGCAGCTCAAGGAGTCAGCCCTCGAGACCCTCCGCTTTGCGTCCGCAGCTGCGAAGAAGCTGCAGGAGCTCATGGTAGCGGCAGAAAAGTCGCAGGCAGCTGACGTTGAAAGGGCTCGAGTGGATGCCGTGAGGAACCACAACGCTGAGGCCGTCGCGCGCATGGTCAACATGCCTCTCTTCTCCCCCAACGGCGCTCTCATGGCCAAGCAATACGCCTTCGCCTTCAGGTTTGCCGCTGAGTACCTCCAGCTTGAAGGCTTGCTGGACAGTTCTGCCTCGCCGCGTGACGTGGCGTGCATCATGGCGGGTAAGCAACTGAGAGCGGGGGAAGAGGGAGGGGTAAAGGAAGAAACGCTAACGTGGGGGAGAAAAACAGCGCGAATGACTTGACGGACAGGTCTCTTCAACGCTGAGCCCGCCAACTTTGCTGTGGTGAACTTCCTCCGCTCTCGACTGGTTGAGGAGATCTGCAAGAGATACATCGAAAACTCGGATGGATCCCAAGAGCCTCTGCCCGACAAGACTGAGCAGTCAGTGCTCGAACAGCTCGTCGCTGTCTTCTGCCACCTTTTCTCTGTGGTCAAGATTCCTCAATGGCATGTCGACTACCTCACGCAGAACCCTGCAAAGAAGGGGCCATGCCAGGTAAGAATGCTAGTTGATACGTCCCTCCTTGGAATGCTTGCTTGTATCTCTCTGCTTCACGTGCCTGTATGCCTGTCTCTACTTCCAGTGGATGTCTGGCTTCCCTCTCACTCCCCCGTAGGTGATCATGGACCCGCTACAGCCCAAGGTGGCGGAGGTGATGGAGGAGCACACCAGGTGCGCCATCGCGAGCGCCATCGAGTACTGGAAGATCTTTGTGAGCAAACACGAGAAGGAGCTGGGCGAGGACAACCAGCTGCCTCTATCAGGACTGCGCTGGCAGGGAGGGGAAGCAGGAGAGCATGTGGCGCTTGCCGACATTTCCTTCGACGTGAAGCTCCGCTCTCGATTTGTCGCCATGGCGGGGAGAGGAGAAACAGTCGAGGACGTGGGGTCGGTGAGCGAGCTCTGCTCTACCACCAGGCAGGGACTCTTCATGGACTCGCGCTTCATTCCGGCCTTCGAGCTCAAGCAGCCAATCAACTCGTATGTGCTCGACTACTGGCGGGCCCCCAACTACACCAACTTGCTCAAGTACAACAAGGTGTCGGAGAATCACGCATGGAGTCTGCTCAAGCACTTCGCCATCAGCGTCAAGGCCACCTTCAAGAGCCTCGAGCGCCGCAACAAGTTCGCGCCCTACAAGCGAGGCATCCATGGCGAGGGCCGTCACCTCGAAACCGTCTTTTCCGACCCCCAGGTGCAGACGGCATTCAACTCCCTCCAGCTGGACTTCTGCTCCAAGTTCAACAAGATCTCCAAGGAGCAAGACACTTAAAGCACTTGATGCCTTTTCAATGAAGTTGCCGCGTGGCGAGAGGGCCTGTTGCTGGTTTCACGCTGTTGCTCTCCTCATCTGACTGCTCTTTTTGCTCCTCATCTCAGTCATCAAAGGCGATGTACAGCAGCACGCGCGGCTTGTCTTGGCGGTTCGCCAGCCCTCGGTGCTCCGTGCGGCTGCTCTCGAAGGCAACGACGGTTCCGCGAGAGCCCTCAATGAGCATCTCGTCCTGCGATGCGATGCGACGGAACTGAGTGGCGCCATTGGCTTGTGTGACGTCGGTGAGGTAGACCATGACTGCAACAGCAAGTGTGTGAGCAGACAAGAGACGGAGAAGAGAGGCATATCAGCGAGCAGAAACAGAATGCGCTACTTATAGAGAACATCTGTCACTCACGCGTTATCTGATGGTAGCTGTTCTCCTCGTCGTCAGGCGTGTCTCTGTGCCAGCCCTGATGATGGTCGGAGGTAGGAAAGGCGGTGATGACGCTCGCGTAGGAGTACTCATGCTTGAGGCTCTTCATCCACTCCTCCCATGGCCCTGCGAATACTCTGCCTTTCTCTGCGTAACCATCCTCCCTCCTCTCACTTCCCAGTGATAGCACCTGCAGGACAGAAGGTGAGAACAATCATGAGTAAGACCAGATAGAGGAGGGAGATCGAGATAGAGGAGGAGGAGGAGGAGGAGGAGGGTGACAAAGGTTGATACATTACATTGTCAAAGGGATTCGTCTTGCAGAAATGTTGTGCTAAGTTGAGCCACTGGTCGCTGACAGAACCAATACGGACGACCCCCTCGCTGAAGAGCTCCTGCTCCAGACCCTCCTTGCTTCTCAGCCACGTGAAGTGCTCGGGAGAGGCAAGGCCTTCAACAACGGCTGCGGGAGGAGGAACAGGAGGAGCAGATTCGCTCTGCAGGAACCATTGCCATTCATTGAAGTCGAACTGATCTGCAAGTCGCTGAGTGCTGTCATGGTTCGCATTCTTCCACCATCCCTCATCGTGTATGCTCTCCGTCCTCCCTCCATTCTCCGCCATCCCTTTCCCTCACTTGCGCCTGCTCGGCCTCCTCGAGAGTGACCAGTTGAGTAAAGATAGAGGCTCAACTGACGGGCGGCATGGCGGACTGGAGTCCTAAGGAGGGGTGGTTCCCCTTGACTCGAGTACAGCAGGAGAGGATATGGAAGGATATAGTAAACCTCCTCAACTTCCTCCTCCTCCTCCTCCTCCTCCTCCTCCACCACGGCTGGGTCGTGGGGATGACTGCAATGTCGGTGGTGCTTCCTTGAAATATGCTATGCAAGATGGGGGAGAGAGTATCTGAATTTCTCTGGGAAGAGAGCTCAGGACTGGGCGGGAGGAATGACCTTACTGGGACTGGGAGATTCTTCATCCAGGACGTAATAATACCTCCGACCTGCGAGTGGATACCTGCAGCAGATGACGCTATTAGTATCTCTTTGTTTATTCAGTCCCACCGTG